CCCCCCCCCCCCCCCCCCCCCCGCCACGGGGTTTACATTGATAGGTGCATAATACATTGCCCTAATAGATGGAGTGGTTCTTGTCGGTAGTATTCACAGGTCCTTCTTGTTTTGTAAACTTGCTAACTCCGCGAAGGCAGATCACGAATCTCCGCAACAGCTTAGTTAGTCCACAGAAAGACTTATTGTCAGTGGTTTTTAGATTGTGGTGTTTTTGCTAGATGTTGTTGAGAAACTAGCCAGTTAATATTATTTGCCAACCAACATACCTAGAAATTTTATCTCCGAAGCGTTGTCTCCAGAATATAACAGTAAAGAACTTGCAAGATATCCCCCGAATTAGAAAAGTTTTCTGTATATACTGAAATGGCCACAATGACATTCTCGGAACATTTACCCGAAAACATGTTTAATGCAAGAGGGTAACAAAATGTAGTTTCAAGCGTTGGTCCTTCGTGGATCCATGAGCTCTGATGACTAGAAATTCCTGGAAAGTTAGGTCCTGAATCACTTAAAGGGTGGAGTTACTTAATAATAAATTTATGGTTTTTAATGATACTTATATCTTATACTTGAAATGTCAGGGTGTATGTTTGACGGGCAGAAGTTTCTACATGGGGATTTAAAAACCCTACAGGATAACTGCACACTGTGGTGAGTGTTTCAGTTTTTTGAGTCACACCACGCGACGCATTATTTCTACGGAAAGCCAATTGTTGTAGTTGTATTGTGCATTTTATAGCTATCTATAATTAATATACATACAAATTAAGTGCGTTGTTAAGTCAGCTTTGAAATTGGAAGGTACTACAGCATTTCTCTACAAGCTATTAACCCCATGGCGTGAACCGTTGTGGGGTTAATGCTCTATAAAGATCAACTCGTGTTTTCTGTAGTGTACAAAGATATATGGACTTGTCCTAAGAATTTAAGTGTAAGCCAAAAACGCCTGACAGTTGTGTTGTGACGTGAGTTAAGCACGGCTTCAAACTAAAACATAAATGTTAACTTTCATAGGTACCTTTTAGAGGGCAAATTACAAGTGTCAACTGAAATCAAACTGCACAACGGACTAAGAAGTCAATGGTTTATAAATAACACACCAATGATTTAATGAGATTCTGGTCCAATCATTAAACGGCTTTTACATTTTACTGAAGATTCAAACCGCGTCCAGTGATTTATATCAGGAACCCTTTGAAACATGTAGAACTGTACATCTTTAAACCATGTGCTGAACATCTGAGCAAAATTCAGTTAATGAAAAGAAAATTATTCACTTCAGCGCTTTAATAACATCCGTTATGTTGTTTGTAGTAAGTGCGACAACGGAGACTGGCACTGCTCAAGGGACAGATGCATGTCTGGAAAGCGTAAGTTATTAATAATTATTCCGCAAATACTAGTCCAAATTTATTTGCATGCATCGCTGTTTTCTTTAAATATAACACGGCCCAACTTTGTGGAACAGGACATGCAAACTACTCGCCCACGGTGTGACTTAAATAGTGCGTCTCTTGTTGAATGATTCTTTAAGCAAACAATTTTTTCATGATTGCGAGGAAGATGCTTCTTTTCACGCTCTTTGATCATCTCATGTCCCTAATATGAAACGGACTTCATCAAGCTGGAATTATTACCAGGAGCCAGATGCCTAACTTTGCACGCTCAGTTTTTTTCTATACTATTATTTTTCAGATGGAGGACAGAACTAGAGATGTACATTCAAGAAAAAAGCAAGAAAAAAACATTTATCGAAAATTGTATAGACAAATTGTTTGATCTGTGTAGGGTGCAATTTTAAATGAAAGGGGTTGATAATGATTAGATTCGACGGTATCTAGTTGTTAGTTTAAACTTTAATATTCCTGTTGTACTGTGTCTTATCTGATCGTAGTTTTAAAAGCCATACGGTCTTTCTTTGGTTTAACAGCGACTTGCGAAAAAAACTATCTTGGGTTTACGAAAGTTGCCGTTTGGGTTGGTGAGCGCTCCAGCAATATTTTAAACTCGTAGGAAACTGCATCCGTGCTTTGCCTAGGCAGATGTTAAGTGTCCTCCTGCATCACTTATAATCCTCATCATTTTCTTAAGGTACAAAGACTTGCCTGTTTTTGCCTCCAAAAGATATATGAGAAAATAGAAATAGATAGATGGCAGATTAATTTAGACAAACATCGCACCTTTAACCAAACTGGAGCTTTTGCACTTATTATTTAGGTGTAGGCAACGTGTTTGTCTGGGGCTGTCACTGAAGATGCTAAATATGAGTTACCGTTCTGGCTGGTAAGCGCCCCAGCTACTTCTCACAACCTCTGATGGAATTAACTCAGTGCTGCGCTAAGGCACACTCAACAGTTCTTTTACAGCACCTACCTACATTCTTAGTCATTTTCTTTAGAGGGACGCTTTGGAGGCTATTAAACGCCACTAATTGTTGGAGCCCAAACCACAGACAGGTATTGAAGCGGGCTCGTGTTAGACCCAAAGTTTGCTTATTGAGACAAACCTTTATGCCCAGGGTTGTGTTAAAAGAAGTTCAGTAAGCGTGAGACCTTTGTTGCAGTTGCTCTATGATCACAAACATATCAAGTCACAATATGCTGAACAGACGAAAAGAAGGCTCTCTCCTTCGCAATAGTCTTTCATCCTTTTGGACAGAGAGAACAATAATGGAGAGAAAGGTAGAGAAAAAGTCCCCTTCCAGCATTGTCCGTGCCATTCCTTTTTTGCGATCTCTGAGCAATCTCATGGAACACAAAAAGTGAATCGAAAGACTAGGGCTTAAAGAAGCTTTTTTCGGGGAGAAAAGAATCGTTTTGTATATAGTAACTTTTTGTTCTTTAGGATCAGTTTATGCGCAAGTAATGATTATTATTGGTGATGAAATAAACTTTTATATATTCCTTTCAAATAAAGTCATTTTTATATACATATGATGTTAATCGCTCCTGTGTAACATTGATTGAGAACTGGATCGAGAATGCCACACGTGTTATGTTTTAAACTAAGCTCGTTTAATTACTTTTCTTGAGGTAAACCTCTATTTTAACCTCGTCTTTTTTGCGCCATTCAGAGACGAACAATTTGTGTAGTCGCTATGACTCGGCCACGAAGCATAAAATGTTTCCATTGTTGCTTGTTAACATAAACTGATGAGGATGGCGGGCAAGAGGGAATTTATCTAAACAGGGTTTAAAAAGTTCACGAGGGTGGTTCTTGCGCACGCAGTTCCAGTACAGTGTATATGTACATCAATTAAAAAATAGAGTCCATTAAAAACAAAAAGAAAACAAAAACCCATACCATTACATACGATTACTTCAACTTTGTTTCCTTTTTATTTTTAATGGACTCTATTTTTTAATTGATCAACATATATCTCACCCTTTGACTTTGCTTTTCTTCCGGGTGGATCATGTCGCAGGGTGCCTTGTAATACCCTCACAAATTTGTCATTTTTTTACTTTCAAGGGGTGGAGGATAGGCTTTCGTTTACCATTAAAAGTATTAAAATGTTATGTTTTCGTCTTTCCTCACTAACTGCGTACATTGTAAAAGAAAAATTGACGATACTTTTTCACTTGTTGTTACTGGATGACAGAATTGTGACCATTTAAAGGAAAGATGTAGTACGATGATCCTTTGGTCTAATTTCTAATGGTAATTTGAAAATCCACCTCAAAGCTGAGCTTCTACACGCTACGGCTTTGCATCTTGGGCAGTTGGTGGAACCCACGAAAGACAAGATGGATCTATCTCTTGGTATTCAGGTGGCCTTGCTGCAACTTTCTTTTCATAGTCATCAAAAAGGTCCTAAAAACAGGAAACATAATTATTCCTATTGTGCAATGGAAATAGGTCATAAGATTTTACTTAGAAATGTGCAGTCAGTGGGTAGCGAGTTAATAGTTTCGAATGTGACTTTCCAGTTACTTAAGAATTGGGTCGAAAGGATTTCTTTACCACAAAACAGCTACAGTCTACTGTAAGCTGCCTTTGTGCACAATAACAAGGGGACTCATCCAAATGAGGAACTCGTACATTTAAGAGTATTAAGGTTCCTTTTACAGTTGGATATTGTCTAGTGTGGTCCCTGATTAAATATTGGCGCGTATTTGTTGCCTTACCGTAGCTCTTAAGATGACATGCTTCCCTTTCCAATACTTCAGGATACCCAAATACTGCAGGGTACTGACAATATCACTTGGATGCAATGCTGTTTCCTGACTAATATCTACGCATAAAAGGAAACGACATGCGCGTTTTTTACAACTTTCCAACACAACTCTTCTGAAGACGGTAACTGGCTTTTTACACTAACAATTACACTTGGCAGGGGATATTCTTGGCTGGGTCTGTGAGAAAGCTGAGGACAAAATGGCGTTCCTAGGAGAATACATTATATGATCTCTATAAAATCAAGGAGATTTCATCGTTTCTTAAAATTACAACTCCGACGGGGATCATGCCAAGCAGTAGCTTTAAGCACTTTGTCTCTAATTTCATAATCGCGAAAGGGGCGTTTCGCTATGCAGATGGCGTTACTTAATACCACAGTGAAAATGCCCGAAGAATTCCCAGGATAATCTTCTTTTTCGGGCAGTGATAACTACATTTCTCTGAAACACGAGGAACAGCTGAAGAAACCACGCCATCACAGTGCACGAATTCTTCCAAATATGATGTAGCAAACTAAACAGTATGCCCTACATCTCTTTAATCTTACGAAGCCGTAATTTGGAGTGAACGTTTGTGGTTAAAATAGGTTTGTTTGAAAGCGAAACTCAAATTAAGCAAGAGGCCCGGACGCAATGACTTTCTTACCCTTAATTGAGATCATGTCAAAACCAAAATTTTTGAGGTATTTAAGCAAAATACCCTTCCAGTAACTTCGATAACTAATAAGACCTAAATCTGACAAAGGCTTCTCAGGGGAACCAACTTTTCCTTCAACTTTTGATAGAAGATAACCTGTAAAATACAAGGTGGATCAGAGTTAAGTTAAGGTTTTCTTAACGGTTTACCGTAAGAAAAACGGGAAAACAAAACATTAGATATTTAACGTAACGGACTTTTTTTAATGATTTAAAATTTGTACATGTATAAAATTGTGTTTGTGAGACACAAAACAGCTTTGTGCAGGTAAAATATTAAGATTTACAATCTTATGTGAGTTATGCTGCAAGTCGTATTCAAGTTAAAAAAGAGCTTTGTGCTGATTTAAGATTCAGATTTACAAACAATTTTGGATTCTGGCCGTGTTTAAGCTCCAACAAAATTTTCTGAAAGATCATTTGCCAATGAATTAAATGAAATTTCTCTCCTAGTTAAGATCAACGCATACATTGTAACATCACTTACTAAAGTCAATCAGCATTTTGCCATATCCTTGTTTCATGTAGATTGGTAAAGTTAATATGCAGGAGACATTGTAATTCAAAAACGACTTTTTCTCCTGCAGTAGAAAAAACAAATAAATATTAACATTCAGGTCCCAGCCAAAGTGGCAGTGAAGTACATATAAAACCCATAAAAAAGTAAGTATCGGACTTTGACGCCAGTAAACTATTATACGCCTAGCTACTACTCTTTTGATCTTACACGCATTTTACGAAAAAATACCACAATACTCTTTTGAAGTGCAAGTTTGGGTAGTGCAACATGTACGCCTGAGTGTTACACTATGTTTTGTTGTAAGTACGAACCACTTTTATTAGTTTCTGTGATTACTTGTTGCCCTCAAAATGCTGCTATCTATTTGTTCTAGAATTAAGCCTTAATAACGATTCCTTTAACACAAAAACCTGCAATGTCCGTTCTACTGGAAGCTGACTGTACATACCCTCATTGTCTTTGTCTCATTGTAACAAAGGAGACTGTATAAGACTTCCTCATTGAGGCCGAGTACCCTATTAGAGAGTATCATGGTGTTTTTCAAAAGTGGCTAAGGGTCAGTTGCAATCGAGTTAATACCAAAAGCAGCTTCGTTGGTTTTTTTTTTAAGTTGTCAGTCCCTGGGAATTGTTTTTGTTCTATTTTTGTTCTTTTTTCTTGGGGTACATATTCCATTTCAGGGGTATCTCTTGTAGCGAGGGGAATCCCCTACCCCAGGCATTTAATGACAGTACTGGAAGTTACATGCCGAATGCGTTAGGGTTCACGGCTATATTATCAAAGAAAGGGCTAAGAGCTGTTAAATGTACCTTTGAAAAGTAGCCGATCATGTGACAACCAGTTGAGTCTACAGTTGTCATAACATAGAACAGGAAAGGTTCCACATCATAGTAGAGGGTCTTGTGATCTAGAAACAACTTGGCCAGCAAACACAAGTTTTGACAGTAAACCTGGTGAGTTGAAAATAAGCAATCACACAAATGAATGAGTCAAAACAGACCCTACATGTATATACACAATCATGACAGCCACTGAAATAGCATAAATCCCCACTAGTTGTCTGAAAATATAGTTTACCTTTACATGTAAGTACAAATTATAGAATAAAGGCAGTTTATTTATCTTTTTTATCGAGAATACTTAAACATGTAAAACTATGAATAATGCAGTGCTTGCAAAAGCTACAAGTAGCTTCCATGAAGAAAACTCAGTTGGGAGTGTTTTGTTTGTTGGCTCACTGCTGCATCCCAACATGAAAAGATGACCTCCGTATTGCAATTAAAGTTTAGGATGGCCAAAGAACACAACAGTTTATTGGTTGTTGGATTATTCATGTCTTTTTTACCCTCTTGCCTTACGGCTTTTAAAGTTCGATTCAGTCAATTTTGGAAACTGCCTTTTGTGTTCAAAAGAGGTGAGAGGATTTGCTTCAATTTAACTTGCATCTGGTATTATTATCACCCTTGGGGTTAACTGACCTTGTGGTTTTTTCCATCCACTTCAAATATGGAAAGTCCATTCTTTCGGTAGATTTCAACTCCAGGAGGATGTCTGCTGTTACATTTGGCCTAACATTTCACACATCAAATAACCAAATAATCATTTTACAGTAATTCACAAAAGTTGCCCATACATGTGAACTGGTTAGCGCACAAAAGAAAGGGCCTACATTTTGGCCGACAACCCTTGACAGAGATTGCGATACCATACCCAACCCTTTGCCAAAAGCCCTACCCCACAAATGCCTTTTCACTTTTCATGTTCTTAATGTATACATTATTGTGTTTTTGCCTTCCCAACTTCACAGGCAACCACAGAAATGTATCGGGAAGAAAACAGCAACATACCGGGGAGAGTCCTTGCCTTGTACAATGTATAAACTTCCGTAAGAAACAGGCTGATTCAAATCCACCCATTTTTTGGAAAATCGGATTAGCAAACATTTTGTAATTTCTTTAAACTCCCTTTTTCTTGCCTTGTTTATTGTGTTGTTTGTTTTTTGTTACTCATTTTTGTGTTGACAGCTTCCATAGAAACTGTAACACTATGCAGGCATGTCGTAAGTCCACAATGTCCATAATGTCTGTAATGTCCATGAGAAAAGTGATAATTCTGAAGCCCTGATACAAAATACAGTTTGATTCAGTTCGCTTAAACAAGTAGAGTCTATTATGCTCTAGTTGCTTGTCCTTTTATCAATTTTTTTTTCTAGTCAAAAGAAATTTTGCAAAAAAGGGGTACTCTGTAATTGTGGTCATTGCATTGGCATGCTACATACATGTAACATAAAAGTGATGTGTGACCTACTGTGTCAGAAAAATAAACATGACCTGTCGTTGTCCAAAAAAAAAATCTATACATTTTTGTTCTTGATGCAAGAAGTCACTCTTTGTTTCCACTTTCACGCTTGTCATCGGCGTGCTTTTTGACATGACGGTGAAGTGCAACCTAATGCATCAAAATTTTTTCTTCCATGCAAGAAATCACACTTTATCTTCTTTGACAAAACAGGTTACATTTCATGTTTATATGACATAGAAAGCAGATAAAATGGCAAGTGCACAATACACATATCAAAAACTGTAAACACATACTCTCTCCTGAGAGCTATTTTTATTGTTGTGCGACTCAAGATTTGTGACAAAGTGGCTATAAACAGAAAACCATAAAATTCACTAACTGTCTCATCCCCCACCCCCTAAGTAAGTCTAGGGTGGGAGGATAAACGAAATTTTTTTGGCCTTAGCAGAGATTCATTAATTTTTTGATTTAGGAAAAAGGTGGTTTACTTTCCCATTTTACTACGTCCAAAATTGCAGGTTCAACTTGTACAAGCAAGATTTTACTTGACTTTTACATACCACATGTCGTCTTAGCACAGTCTGGCTCTTCATATATTTTAAGCAGAATTCACAGATGTATATTTTCCGAAGCCGCTGAAATTCCTCAGGATATGGAGAAGAGTACCATGTGTCAATCTCAAATGAACCAAATTCAATACAGCGACATCCATTTCT